GTTGGAGTCTGCAGCAAGCAAGCCTCGTGCTCGCTTCAGTGCCTGGCTGCCGGCCGCCATCTTGGCTGACAGTTAATTTGCATATACTCACTGATTAGCCAATGAAAAGGGTAGCGGTCATACGCCAATTACCATGTTTCTCTTTTATTAGTGTAGATAGTCATCTGTGATGATAGCTCTCTTCCTGGAGCAAGTCCTTGGTCTAAATTATTTTAGGAAATAAGGGGGAATGTTGTAACGGTGGGAAAGGCACCATGTGTCTGACCAGTGGGGTCAGATCAAATTGGGTTCAGCAACCTTAGTACTTGGGTTTGTCAAGGAAGATTTCAAAGTCCAGCCCAAACTGTAAGGTTTTAAGGCAGAGATTTTTGGGGAGGTCCTAGGGAAAGATCCTAATGGACTATTCAGCAGTTTCCCAGGTGCATCCTTTCAGGATTGTAGTCTCCAATTGAGAGGAGTTAGTTTGAAACGCAGGCAGTGGAAAACAAAGGCAGGCGGAACATAGGCAGGGGCTGACATGGCAGTTTGAGCCAGCCTAACCACAGGAACCAACCAAGCAGAAATAATAAAATGTTTCTGGACTCAAAGTGAGAGGCATGTGAAACTAGGGAGGGCCTGCAGCAACAAGGTGTATGAAAGCATAGAAACAGAGAAAGTTCAGTATAGGAACAGAGGAAGAACACATAGAAACAGGGAAAGTTCAGGTTCATTGCTGGGCAAAAACAATTGAGGGAATCAATCAGGTGACGACATGGATGGCTATAGAAGCAGGCTTGTAGCAAATATATACCCCTGGGCTACAAGGGTTTAATGGGAAGCCATTATTGGGTCCCCCTCCCCTTGTGGGGAGTTTGAATCTGCTTATAATAAGTTTTCCACGCTTAAATCTTCTGGTCCTGTTGTGGACCAACATTCGTGAGAATAAGACCACCAACTCCAATTAGGTCTTAAACAGCAAGCGAGGATTTATTGAGCTGGCCAGTGACTACAGTTACAGCACCCTGCCGAAGCAGAGGCTGAACTGCAGCGCAGACTACAAGAGTTACATTTTATTATTAAATTCTGTGGAGGCCCAGAGAAAAATGTGTCTTTCAAATTCTGGGCCCCCAGTATGGAGGAAACTCTCTTTATTTATACTTTTTCCAGTCCTTTGTCTCCCAAATTTGGAATGAGACTTCCGGGCCTTCTGAGAAAGAAGGCCTGTGTTCTGGGAAGGGGCCATGAGACCATATCTCAAGGCCTGGCCTGATGTCAGTACCTTCCTATCTATGTGTTCTAGGACAGAGAGTACAGCATGACCCGTCTGGCCAAAGCGCCAGATATGCAGCCCAGCACAGTCCTCGTAGGTCATTCTTCAGCGTCACGAGACACAACCCCGGGAAAACACCTTGGCTCACCGTTCTGCTTATCACACTGACGGATTGGCCTGCACCAGGGCAGTGGGTCATTATTCAATGCAGTTGGTCCTAATGTCAGCCATGGCTGGTTTTGTTGCTTATCTTGGCCTGGAGCAGAAATACAGAGGCATAGGGAGGAAAGGTCAGGGGGTCCAAACCACGTGACCAGTGATAGGGGAGGAAAAGTCACCCTGGAGGCAAGGTCCCACCCTACAATTGATTGTCCGTTGCTAGGCACACGGGGCTTTCCACCCTGCTCCTCTCTGTCTAACTGCCTGTAGCCGGAAGATCAAAAGTTTTTCCTGAGCTGTCTGAGTTTTAATAGTTTTCAGCTTGAAATAATCTGTGTGCCAGAGTGACACATCTTGGGGTGACTCATTCTGAACCCCTACAGTTAGAATGTAAACAGCTCTATCAAGTAGATGAATGTCAATAAAAAATTGACACTGTTCTAGCCATTAAATATTAACACTGTGGACCCAGAGAATTAACATTTGTTCGATGTGAACCCTGGAAAGGAATTTATTTGCTGAGATTGGACATCCTTTGGTCAACTGAGGGCCCCAATTTTTTTTTTTTTAAATATGTCTTTATTGATTTTTAGAGAGAGAGGAAGGGAGAGGGACAGAGAGAAAGAGACATCAATGATGAGAGAGAATAATTGATTGGCTGCCTCCTGCACGCCCCCTATTAGGAATTGAGCCAGAAACCCAGACATGTGCCCTGACAAGGAATCCAACCATGACCTCCTGGTTCCTGGGTTGAAGCTCAATCACTGAGCAACACCAACCAGGTCAAGGGCCCAAATTTTATAAATAATAAGAGCCAGAGGGAAGACAGGGAAGGGTGGGTGGAAAGTGATCAACCCAAGAACTTGTATGCATATATGATAACCCATGGACACAGGCAATAAGGTGGTGAAGACCTGGGGTGGGGTGGGCTAGAAGAGGTCAATGGGGGGAGGGACATATGCAATACTTTCAACAATAAAGATTTAATTTAAAAAAAAAGAGCCAGTGATTTGCTGACAGGAGCACCTCACATACTCTGTATACCCAGAAGAACCTCAGACTGAACTCTCAGCTTCCCATACTATGCCCACTGTTTACACGTCTGAGTCAACAACTGCAGGGAAACCCTGGTTTTATCTTTTTATCAACAGATTGAGACCTGCCCGTTCAATATAAGCTGCACGATTTGAATATCTCATTTACATAAAACAGATGTAATTGGCAACATGGGCTGGAATGTAGAAAAGGAGTCCTCCCCTAAGTCCTGGGGAACGCAATTTAGGTTGCTACCTGAGTCCGTGTCTCCCAGGCGGCAGCTGCTTTGGAGATAGGCTAGTAAACCAGGGAAAATGGAATAGGGAAACTGAGACAGACAGTTAAACAGCAGTTTGCAGCCACGTAGAAAATCTAGGTGCCAAGCAGTTTGCACCCATCCAGGAAATTCTATCTTCCCTAAACCAAGGACACTGAAGAGTAAATGGTTTGCACTCCCCCCACTTCCCAACCAGAAGGTCAGTAGCTTAAATCACCCTACTCAAGGGAGAAAGCAGAAATCCAGTTAGTGCCATTTACCAGCCACACCCACGGACAGATGAAGTTAAGAGAATAAATCTAACTTTGGTACATCAGCACAAAGCTGATGAATATTCTATTGAGATCCTCCCCTAAACATCCAGCCTGAGAGCAAGTCATTGATAGGTTGCCTCTTGCACACCCGACACTGGGGATTGAATCTGCAACTGGGCCATGTGCCCTGACTGGGAATAGAACCAGGACCTCCTGGTTCAGTTCATAGGTCGAAGCTCCACCACTCAGCCAGGCCAGCTGGATTAAATGTCCAACCTTTAAAACCCCCCACAATGAAGGTCCCAGCGTTTGCTATCCCTCCCATGAGTACACCTGCATCTTACCCCTCCCCCTCACCTTCATGCATCTCCTAAACTCTAAGGTACCCCACGAGGCTTGCAACCAGGGCAGCAACCAACAGTGGCATTTCATCCCAAGCAAACCCCCGATTCTGTCCCCAAGGCCCCCCTTTCTCTGACTCAGTGAGTCAAAGCATCTCAGCTTAGAGCCATTTTTCCACGGAATCCTCCTCCTGATGAGGGGAAGGGGGAGGGGGGGGACATAGACCAATGATTAACCCCTAGAGTGCTGGGGAGCACGATCGCGCTCCTCCTGTCTTTTGCCAAAAGTGCCGGGAGGAGCGCTATCAAAGCTTCGAAATGGCGTCCAGTTCTAAGTCTGCTTTTATTAGTGATGATGATATTGCTAAATATGTCAATGTAGTAAAGGTTTCCTTAAGTTTTTGAATATGTAACTTCATTTACTTGTGATTCATAATTTGTTTCCTAAACTGCTGTACAATCAGCAAAAATGCCTTGGCAATTTTAGCATAGTTCCTAGGATATTGGTTGGCACTCAAAGGGTTAAGGCTGTTCTGTAGTGAGCCAGTGCCCCTGGGCTGTGACCTTCACAAGTCCTACTTTCCCCCTTGAGACAGGAAGGCCAGGAGGTTTCAAATTTTAAGCTATTTCTTTTCCCCAGATTGCTTAGGCTCTGGTAAATAGTTTCCCTTGAGGGCAGGCTTTTGATAAGGAGAACAAATGCTCAGGGTGTTGCAGAAGACCAAAGAAATACCAAGCATTCGTCCTAGAGAAAGGGAGGGACCCCATTTATTAACACTAGTGGACTCCGGGAATAATTTCCAAATCAGAGTGAAGTAACACCCAGAGGCTTCGCTTTTTATAACCTTCTGGGCCCCCAGGTGTTGATGATCTGTCCTGGGGCCAGCGATAATGACTCCCCACCCCCCGCAGGGCAGTGCATTGTTCACAGTTTTTATGGCCTGACACGCCTTGCAAAGACCAGTTTCCTCCTCAAGGGCTTATTTCAAAGTGGGTTTATTTCTCTTCCTTTAGGAAGTATGAGGCCAGAGGTGTTTTGTTTTGTTTTCCTCAATTGTTTGCCCAGAGAATCTGTTGGTGTTCTGGAGGTAAAACTCACAAAAGTGTGAGCGTTTTCCTAACACTAAATTCCCTTCGTTTTTTAATTCTGAAATTTATCCACACTGAGCCTCTAGCAATTCATCAAGGACAGTTGAAGTGGTCATACCACTGTGGATGAAAAGGGGTTCTCCCCAGGATGATCTTAAATTCCTAATTGGGCAGGTCATGGTGAGTAGTCACGCCTTACCTTAAGCAAGACCTGCCCACTGTTTCTGTGAATCTAGGTTAGCATACCTTTGAAATGCCTCCTTTCAGACTCGGCTAGTACACGCCCAGAAGGCCATAAGTAAAACCGCCCTCCAGAGAGCACATGATCTCATTAACTATCCTGTAATCCAATCCCTGCCTTGCTTTCTCCTGCCTTCATGTAATCTTCCTTTTAGTCCCTCCTTAATTCCAAGTGAGTGAAAGGAAAACCACAAAGCTGTCATTTGAGATCTTGCTTCCTGGCAATTGTCCTCAGTTTTGGCTCAAATAAACGCAGAAAAAATTCCCTACAGGTTTGGACATTTTTATGTCAACATCAGTACTGGCTCCAAAAGTGGACTTTTGCTCCAGGTAAGCCTGTCTCTCTAATTTTGGGGCCGTGGTTTGTCTTGTGACCTCAGTTCTCTGCTGGATCTAAGAAAAATGATTGATTTTTCAGTTCAGCTTTTTTCTTGTTGTGAAGATGGGAGAGGCAACTTTCAAGCTCTTTGTATGTCAGACTGGATACCAATGGGAGCTTCTTACTATAATTTTTAACTTAATAACATCAAACAAATAATTTTTTAAATCTTTTTGTAGCTCATGGCAGTTTTAACTTTTATTTCAGAACTTCCTTCTATAAATTCTTATGTACACATTACATCTCACTGTGAAGTATGTGGATCCCCAACCACCTGGGAATGGAAAGCCAGAAGGAGGTCAGCAAGTAGAGGCAGCGAGGATTTGCCATAGACTGAGGAGGGCGGAGCAGTCACAGCCTCTTGGTTACCTTGGTAGCCACAGAATAAATTTATTATAGCACTGAAGCAAAAAACTCAGGCATATCCATTTGCAAACTGAACTATAATAACACCATCCAAAATAAAATATAAAAATAAAATGGGTAAGCATAAGTAGTTCTGTAAATATAAAAATATTATACTTAATTTGCACTGAAACAAAATTTGCCTACTTATTCTATATCAAAATCTTTAAGCCCCCCCCCCCTCATTTTCTATTATGCTCTCTTCCAACTACTTCTATTTCTCTCTTTAGTTCTTACTCTTATTCTCCCTGTCATTGTTTCTCCTTCCCTATTAACCCTATAGTCAGCAGCCTCTAAGATGGTCCCCAATGATCTCTGCCTCATTCATGCATGACTGTGTGTCAAGTGTGGGCTGGACCACCTACTGACTTGCTTTTAATGAATAGAATACAACTGAAGTGATGAGGTGACACTCCACGTTAGATTAACTAAGAGACTGCGGCTTCTATCCTGGGAGGGTTCTCTTGCTCTCTGGCTCTTAGGGCAGCCAGAAACAAAAGTGTGACCAAGACCTGAAACAAGGCACTCACATCTCTGGGCAACAGTCAATGGGGACCTGAGGCTTGCCATCAGCCATGTATATGAGCCTGGAGCTAGGAAGTGAATCCTTCCCAGCCAAGCTTTGAGATAACTGCAGCCCAGGCCACCAGCCTGACTGCAGTCTCGAGAAAGAGGCACCCAGCTACACCGCCCCAGATTCTGGACCCACAGGAAATAGGAGATCAGACATGTTTGCTGTCCAAAGACACTACATTTTCAGGCAATTTTTATACAGCAATGACCCTTTTGTATTCCTCTTTGTCCTGACTTCCCCATTTTGAGGAAACTAAAGTGAATAAAGTGTAGCATTTAGATATTCATATTCTGCTAGTGATACTGCTATCAAAATTGCAAAGCAATTTAGTCTTCAAATTATTTACACCTATAAAGTTCTAAAACATGAATTCTAAGAGTTCCTATGTGGAAGTGCTAACCACCTGTACTTTAGAATGTGACCTTATTTGGAAATAGGATAGTTTTAGATGGAAGTAGTTAAGATGAAGTCATTCTATAGTGGGCTGGGCACTAAATTCGATGACCAGAGTTTTTACAAATGGAAAATTTGGACTCTGGTGCACTCACTCGGGGAGAAGACAGCTGTCTACACAGCGAGAAGCCCGAGTAATCCTGTCCTCACAGCCCTCAGGAGTGCAATAAGGAGTGTTTTACAGGGTGTGTTTACATTATGTCTATGATGTGAAGCCATCATGTTTTTTTAACGCTAGATATGGGGCGCAGCTACAGTGTTTTGGCCAGGTTCAAGCCTCGGACTAATGAAAGGACAGGGTCCTCTCATCGCCACGTGCAAGTCCCAGCTGGAGGGCAGGGCCCTCCCAGCACAACCCCCGCCCTCCCCCCTAACCCTCACTCAGGATCACCTTTGGCCGTAACAGCTAGATGTTGTGATTTGTCTTTAAAGCACTAAGTTCTGAGAACCACGTGCTTCCTTGTAATTTCTCTCTATAAACAAGGGCTTGCTCTGTTTTTCAACAGTCCTTGGACTTCAGCATGATGACTTCTCAGCTGCTGACTTGTGTGGCAATTTCAGTTTTCTGTGTCTTAAAAGCCAGCTCCCTGGACACCTTTATTGCAGCTGTTTATGAGCATGCAGTGATTTTGCCGAATGTCACCCTCGCACCAGTGTCCCGTGAATTGGCATTGGGGTTAATGAACAGAAATCTGGACCTTTTGGAGGAAGCAATCACATCAGCAGCAAAACAGGTACCTCCTCTTGAGTGTGCTGGCTTCTATGTAGAGAGTGGGGTCCCAACCAGGGTCAATTAAATATGTGTCAGAGTACGTATTTGCATATGTGTTCATGAAACCGGACAACTAATGGGTCCGGGCTGCCTGTCACTACTTGAGCCAATTAAGCAGACAGGTTTTGTTATGGCAGAAATCAGGTGAGCGGGAAGCGACAAACCATATGCACTCGGAGATTCAGAAAAGGACTGTTTATTCCAATACTGCCGGCAGTATGGGAGAGCAACTGGTCATTCCCAGAAATCTGCTCTGCCGCCCCCCATAGGCCAGCTGCTTATATAGGGTAGGACAAAAATTACACAGGGAAATTGGACTATAGGCATGGGGATGTAGGAAGCTGGGGGGTTGTGTGTGGGGGGGACTCCATTGTTTGGGTAACAAGGTTGTTAATCTTTCCCTGAGAATGGACCGCATTCCAAGGCTGACTCCCAGGTCCCAAGGGCCTACAACTCCCAGCCAGGTCAGAATGTCCTTTCTTTAACCAACACAAGGCAATCATGGCTAACAGAGCATGATCACTATTTCCCACAACCATAGCCAGTCCCCAATATTCCTTTCTTGCCCCTAACAGGTTGAGTCATATGAGCATTTATTCCACAATAAGCCGGCAGTGTGGGAGAACAGCAGATCATCCACGAAAGTCTGCTTTGCACCCTTCCATAAACCAGCTGCTTATATGGGGTAGAAGGACAAAGATTACATGGGGAAGTGGGCAAAAGGAATAAGAATGGGTATGCAAAAGGAATAAAAGTGGGTATTACAGGCGTGGGGAAGTAGGCAAATAGAATAAAAATGGGTAAAATGATTACAGATTATTGGCAATGTGGACTAGGGGGTGGGGTGCTTCCGGGATCCCATTGTTTCACAATAAGGCTGTTAATCTTTCCATGATGATAGGCAGTTCTCAGTAAAAGGAGAATGGGCTCCGTTTCTAAATTAACTCCCATGTCCCAGGGTTTACTACTCTCAGCCTGGTTAGAATGTGCTTTCTCTGTCCGAACAGAACAATCACAGAGAACAGAGCATGGTTAATATTTCTGCCCCTAACATGAAGGTAGGTGAAGACATATATGTCAGGGTAGCCAAGACCTTTTGTTTCCCCCAAATTATTAGAAAAAAGACATTATTACTTCCCTAATAGTGAGACAAACTTAAGAAAAGAACAGCTTGGTTATCATTCAGGGGCAGCACTCCTTTGAGAAACTTGCTGTAAGTTCAACAACTTTGTTGTTCTTTTCTGCTACAGATGGAGGGTGGAGGATAAATGGGTCAGGGGCCACGTGCTATTTTTAGAGTATTAGTGGCCTTGGTGCACTTTGTTCTCTTAAGAGTGTGCAGGGTTTTAGGTTAGTTTATAACACCAAAACAAGCTTAAGTTGCAAACTACTTAACTGTATGTATTATATACTTCAAACTTCATTCTAATTACAAGATACTTCATACTTCATAATACTAACACATGCTAATGTATGTTTTATATATGTACACAATCCATATAAAGCTATTATATACTTCATATTTCATTTTAATTAGATAAAAGTATATGTGTTTTTTTATTATTTTATTTTTTATCCTGTATTAGTTTCAGGTGTACTATGTATTATATACTTCAAACTTCATTCTAATTACAAGATACTTCATACTTCATAATACTAACACATGCTAATGTATGTTTTATATATGTACACAATCCATATAAAGCTATTATATACTTCATATTTCATTTTAATTAGATAAAAGTATATGTGTTTTTTTATTATTTTATTTTTTATTCTGTATTAGTTTCAGGTGTACAGCATAGTTGTTAGGAAATCAGCCAGGCGGGTAGTTAAGCTACATAATCTTTACTCCCTGGAATGGAGATAAGAAACACCCTAACCTTTGTAATAGAAATTGACAGGATTAAAATCAGTTGTTAGGAAATCATGTTCTTTACAGAGTGGTCCCCCCAATATTTCAAGTTCCCATACATAGTTATTATGATATCGTTGACTATGTTCTCTATGCTATAATTTGCATCTTTGAGACTATTCTGTAACTACCAATTTGTAAAAAGTATACTAGTATATGCTAATGCATAGTAAGTTCTTGAGTTAAATGAAAGGTTTAAGGTTAAGTATGTGGTTTAAATAAGATATTCATAACTCAGGTATAGACAGATATGTGAAATGTCATGAAAGTCAAGGATATATACATATAACATATCTATCAATACACATTCTTATACATACAAAAATCAGCTTCCAGGATGACTCTCCCACCCGAAGGTGCCCAGGTTGTACCTCTAGGCACCCTCCTGAGAAGCAGGAATCATGTTTGCAGGGTATACAGCAGGAAAGGCTGTAGCAGAGGAAAAGAATTTGAATTATAAATCAATTCCATACACTCAGGTACAAGAGTTGGTCTAAGTTCAGGGAGGGGGTGATTTGGGGAAGAGCTAGGTTTATAGTTAACAACTGTAATGGGTGTCAACTTGTGAGTAGCCTGGAAAGCTATTCATGCTTAGAAAAAAAAATGAAAACATCTGTAATAATAAAAGCGTAATATGCTAATTAGACCGAACGTCCTTCCAGAAGAAGTTGGGGCTGCGAGGGAGGCCCAGGTCCCAGGTGCCAGAGGAAAGCCGGTGCCAGCAGTTGGGGGAAGGAAGGCCTACTCTTGCATGAATTTCATGCATCGGGCCTCTAGTTATAAATAAAGGATGATGTCAGGATTGGAAAATGCAAGTGGTTGGGCAAAGAAAATAAATTGTAAGAGTATAGAAAACAAAGGAATAAGATTGAAAGGGAAAAACATACACCTGAAGGTGGTTTGTCAGCCACTCAATTCCTCAGGTCCTCTTGCAGGCAGGCCCCTTTTTGGTGGTTTGCTTATTTGAGAAATATTTTAATTAATCTGCATGTTTAACAGGGTGCACATATTATTGTGACTCCAGAAGATGGTCTTTATGGCTGGAACTTCAATAGAGAATCTATCTACCCATACCTGGAAGATATCCCAGACCCTCAAGTGAACTGGATCCCTTGTAATCATCCCAACAGGTAAACAGACAGACTTAACAAATTCAATCATGAACATGAGCTTACTTCACTTGGGAAAATTTTGCAGAAGATCATTGCATAAGATCCACTATCAATTCTAAGTTTCAAGACAGCTTTATTATTTTTCATCTCATTTGGAAATATTTAATAGAAAAGTAACTATGTATTATAAAATCACAGAAATCAGTGCTGGAAGGTAACATAGAAACCATCAAATCCACTGAGGGGCTGGATCTGGTCATGGGGTAGGTAGCTGGTTAGTGGGAGAATCAGATCCAAACTCTAGTCTTCTGACTTCTTACTAGTGAACAGAAAAATTGTTTCCCTGTTGTGTCTATAATTTGAAAAATGTGTGAGTAAATAGCAAAATAGTCATGTGTCAGTTTAGAATTTCAAAATTTTCTTTCTCATCCATCAGATAGTTAGTTGATTTGGTTAATGTATACAGAATCCTTAAAGCCTAAGCTAATTGTCAATCTAGGAGGTGATGTAGCAGAACTGTGTAAGTGGTTTAAATCAAGTCTAGTCCAAAGAAATATGAAGTGTGATGAAAGTAGCACTGTTACTTTTAATATAAGCAAAACAATATCTGATGCACCTAAGAGATTCATGTCAGTTAACTCACTTATTTCCAAATGCTAAAATTCTAGGAATTTCTCTTTTGAAATTGCTCTCAAAACTATATAAACTACTGTAACTGCTTATAGAGCCACCTTGATTTTGACCAAGCTTAATATTATTTATCATAATTATCTACTCACATTTCATTGTATCATAACTATTTCATATTTTTCCATTTCTCATGCTAGAAATTCAGTTTCTAAAGCCCCTCTGTTATCACTTCCATTATAAAGTAACTTTATTTGGTTCTTTTTCTTAATCCTCACCCCAGGATATTTTTTCCATTGATTTTTAGAGAGAGTGGGAGAGAGAGGGAAAGACAGAAACATTGATGTGAGAGAAACACATCGATTGGTTGTCTTCTGCACAAGCCCCAACCAGGGCTCAGGCTGGGGAGGAGCCTGCAACTGAGATACGTGCCCTTGACCAGAATCGAACCCGGGACCCTTGGGTCCGCAGGCAGATGCTCTATCCGCTAAGCCAAACCAGCAAGGGCTTCACTTGGTTTTTAATGGCTCTTCCCTAGAACCAAATTTCTAAGAGCCTCCAGAAAATCCCCAGTTCAAAGAGTCTTGTTTTCTATTTATATTTTTCACCAATTACATCTCCGTTCCTTGCCTTCATTCAGTTATTGGACAAATTTTTTGAGAACCTATTATTTACAGCAAGCATGTCAAACTCACGGCCCAAGGGCTGCATGCGGCCCACAACGAATGTTTTTGTAGCCCAGCCAATATAACGGTATGTAAGAAACGTTTTAATAAAAATTTTGTAACTTAATTTTTACACTATCCTATTACACATAATTATTAATAATGACCTACAACATTCACTAATGACTGATTACTATAATCGTGTTGCATCCATTTCCCTTACATGCCTTATGCGCAGGCACACCATTTCTCTCCACTAATACTAGCAGCGAATATTTCAGCAGCCGATGGCCATGCCATTAGTCTTGGACTAACTTGTTTGGTGCACACAACAGGAAATATTTCACTTGTGGAGAACAAGAAAAATAGATTTATTTGCATTATGCTTATTAATTTGTGCAGTTATTCAGTGTTTGGTAAGTTAATGTTCAAGAAAAAAATATTAATTTTTATTAAAATGTTCTATTATTTTATGTAAACAATTACTCATTTATTTCAGCCCTTTGTTTTCAGCTTGTCTCTATTGAAATAAAGCTATGTTTCTATGAAAATTGAAGCTTTTGTTTTTTTGCTGCCCACATAAACTTAAACCTTGTTTATTTGGCCCATGTTAGCTCTTGAGTTTGACATGCTTCATGTACAGGTACTATTCTGGAAAATGGGGTGACCAAAACAGATTAGAAATATTGACCTGGAAAGATTTGATAAATATGTTTCAAGTGGTTCAATGTGTTATATTTATTTCTGTGCATTTCCTATAGAATTGAAGCAAATGATGGGAAAAACTATCAAATGGTCACTTATATAAATGCATTAAAGTAAGTTTTTAAATGTGTTCTTGTATCCGTGATCTTTTACAAGGATATATTTTCAGGCGATTGCTATGGTTTTGTACCAATTTATAAATTTAATGGTCTAGATTTGATACTCAAAGAAAGCTTTCATTACTATTGCCAGCAGATGGCACCACATTTTCATTCATTCAACAGCTCTCCTAATCTTAGCTATTCTTCAATAACCTAGTAGTAACCATTTTTAAATTATTTGTGTGTGGTGCCAATACAAAATAAATATGGATAGATATTACATATTCTGAGATCTCACTTTTCAAAATTGCATTTTAATTCCTTTTCTGGGACAACTGGTAATATGATAAAAGTAAAGAAATTAAGCATTAACAAATGTTCTTGTATTCCCATCTTTCCATACTGGCTGGCACCATTCTAGCCCAACTCGTGTTGTCTCTAATCTCAACCATTGAAATAACTTCCTAATGGTTTCCCTACACTTAGTCTCTAACCATTCTAGTACATTTTATACTGTGATGTCCTATTAAAGAAAATTCAGATCCTGTTACTTCTGTCCTCAAAGCATTTAATGGTACCTCCTTGTCTATTAAATTTGGAACAAGTTTCTTAGCCTCTTGTGCAGAGTTCTATCCCTTATGACTCCAAATAGGCAAAGGGTCTAAACAGACAGTTTTTTTTAAAAAAAAAAAAAGAAATTATCTTTATTGTTGAAAGTTATACAGATGTACCCTTTTTGCCCCCATTCACCCTTCTAGCCCACTCCTTCCCCCGATGCCAGGCCTTTACCAGACTATGTGTCAATGGGTTATGCATATATGCATATAAGTTCTTTGGTTGATCTCTTGCCACCCACCCACCCTGCCTTCCCTCTGAAGTTCATCAGTCTGCTGAACAGACACTTTTCCAAAGAAAATATACAAATGGTCAAGAGGTATGTGAAAAGATGCTCAACATCACTGATCATCAGGGAAATGTAAATCAATACCACACAGATATCACATCTAGTAAAATGGCTATTGTAAAAAAGACAAGATAACAAACACTGAAGAGAATATGGGGGGAGGGGGGGGGGAAACCCTCGTGGGAATGTAAATTGGTGCAGCCACTATGGAAAGCAGCATAACAGTTCCTCAAAAACTTAAAAAATAAGACTACCATGTGATCCAGCAATATCACTCCTGGGTGTTTCCAAAGGAAGTTTCCAAGATATCTGGAAAAGATATCTGCACTCCCATGTTCATTGCAGTATTATTCACAACAGCTAAGACATGGAAGCAATTTAAGTGTCTATCAACGAATAAATGGATTAAGAAAATGTGGTATACAGAGTAGTCCTCCCTTATCTGTGGTTTTGATTTCCTGTTTTCAGTTACCTACCTGTGGTCAACTGTGGCCCAAAAATAGAAAGTGGAAAATCGCAGAAATAAACAATTCATAAGCTTTAAATTGTGCGCTATTCTGAGTAACGTGGTAAAATCTATCACTGTCCCACTCTCCCATCCGGGACGTGATTCATCCCTGAGTCCAGTGTATCCACACTGTACAGGACACCCACCCATTAGTCATTTAGTAGCCGTCTGTTATCAGATCAACTGATGCGGTATCACAGTGCTTGTGTGCCGGTAGCCCTTATTTTACTTAATGGTCCCAAAGCACAAGAGTAGTGATGCTGGCAATTTGGACATGATAAAAAGAAGCTATGAAGTACATCCTTTAAGTTAAAAAGTGAAAGGTCTCATCTTCATAAGGAAAGATAAATCATATGCTAAGGTTGCTGAGATCTACGGCAAAAACCAACCTTCTAGCCCTGAAATTGTGAATAGGGAAAAAGAAATATGTGCTAGTTTTGTTGCTACCCCTCATATTGAAGAATTTGTGTCCAGTAAGTATGGCATTTGGTCTTTCTCCACAATGGTATCTGGTGCTTTATTTTTTCCTGGTTATTTGTATGCCTTATGATTTTTTTTTTGATAAGTGGACATTTGAATCTTACAATGTGATAACTGGAAATCAAAACTTCTTCCTTCCCCGGGGTTTTGTATCTCTTGTTTGTTTTGATTGTTACAAGCTGTTTCTGTGCTGGGCCTAAGCTTGAGGTGTAACTTAAGATCTTCTGAGGTCTTTTGTTAGCCTGTGCCTTTCCCTGGGCATGTGCGGTGACTTTCTAAATTCTCCTATACATGCGATTGCTTTTTTATGTCCTAGTCCTTAAATGTCTGGTGCCCAAAAGGGGGGAAAAATAAAGACTGTATAAATCCCCTAGAAGTCACTTGCAACAATGCGTGAGGGGTGCAACAAAGGCTGCCTGCCCCCGAGTCTGCATCTCTGAGATCAGAAGCAGTTATCGAGGCTCAGAACACAGATTCCTAATATTTGGAGGAAAGGGGCCTTATTGCTCACCTTGCTCCCACAAGCTGCCTGCAAGGTGCTCTGGGAACACCCTCATGGCTGCCTGCCCTGGGGGCTAGGGGAAAGATGGGTCATGGGTAGTCACTGCTGAACCAGTGTTAAAATAGACTGAAATTATCTGCAATTTACCCTGCAAGCCCTCCCCTAGAAGTTTCAAGCCTTCAAATAAACTGCAGAGTTCCGAAGTATTATGTCAGACCGATTCTGCAATTGTTACCTAAGTAGAGGAATAGATTCTTGGTGCTTCCAACTCTGCCATCTTCCTAGAATCCTCACTCTAAGTTGACCTTCTTTCATTCAAAATATTTTTTTAATGCCTGTTTTCTGTCAGGCATGGGTTCAGTGAATAGGAGATGTGTGTGTATTTGCCCCATAATAGCTATAAGATGTAACGTACAACATATGATTAACACATGAATGAATATATGATTATGAATGATGATAAATGCTATGAAGAAAAAAATACATGGCCTGGAGTGTTACTCTAGCATCGTTTTCTACAAATGAATTCCCACAAGCATGTACTTCCTCTGAAGTCTCTTTTTGTTTTAATCTTTCCCTTCTACCTATGTCATTTAGAATTTTTGTGTGTGTATGTGTACATATATTGCATAGTAGGTTCAGGCCGCTATCATCCTGAGTTTTATTAAAAGCTAAGCTTGATTTTTGTTTTCCTCTTCCGATAACACATACCAGATTTGGCCACACCCCAGTGCAAGAAAGACTCAGCTGCCTGGCCAAGGAAAACTCTATCTATGTTGTGGCAAATATTGGGGACAAGAAGCCGTGCAATGCCAGCGACCCCCAGTGTCCTTCTGATGGCCGTTACCAATACAACACTGATGTGGTGTTTGACTCTCAAGGAAAACTGGTGGCACGCTACCATAAGGTAGAATTTAATGCAAATAGTTACTAAATGCATAACAAATTAAAGTGGACAATAGGGGGAAATCCTTATTATTGATAAGAAGCATACTTTAGAAGCTGAGTAGCGACAAAGCAGAGAAAGTAATGATTAGGTGTGTGTGCATTTAGGAACACAGGAGTGTGTTGTTGGGAGTGTGTGAGAATCAGTAGGACCTACCTGCATTGAAATATATGTCATCTTTTGGACTTTCTCCTTTTAAGGACATACTCTGGCAATGGCTCAAGGCTAGAATGAAAAAACACTTACCAGATAGACTTGGTTTTAACGAGAAAGAAGCAAAGAAATTCCTTTATCCTCGGAAAATAGATGCATTCTTGGCAAATATGCATTATCTATTTCACTCCTACCTCTTTTAAGATTCAAGGTCTTAAGAGATAAGGATTCCCTTGTACATATCTAAAAATGTGGAGATTGAACCAAAGGCTCCTATTAGCCGTAGTAATCTCAAGTTCTGCACTCTTTCCCTAGGAAGCCGATGGTCATAGATGAAATTAGCACTGCCGAATCAATGTGCACTTGTACTTTTTCAGACACAGTGACATCCAAGCAACTTCTAAAAAGAGATTTACCCCGTCTTCGTCTTCTGTTCATTGCAGCAAAACCTTTTCTTGGGTGAAGATCAATTCAATGTACCCAAGGAGCCTGAAGTTGTGACTTTCGACACCACCTTTGGAAGGTTTGGCATTTTCACATGCTTCGATATACTCTTCCACGATCCTGCTGTGGCCCTGGTGAAAGACTTCCATGTGGACACCATTCTGTTTCCCACAGCGTGGATGAATGTTTTGCCCCTATTGTCAGCTATTGAATTCCACTCAGCTTGGGCTATGGGCATGAAGGTCAATTTCCTTGCATCAAATATACATCACCCCTCAAAGAAAATGACAGGTAATGTATAATTGTTAAGATTTACAAGCTTGATGGAATCCAAAAAGCAAAAAAAAAAAAAAAAAATTCTTTTCTAATATGTACTCCTTAACACAATGTTTTTCAACTCTTAATTTTTGTGTATCTAGCTGGTGACATGCTGTAGAATTAATCTTCATATAAATTGTTTTCAGATTTATTTAGTTTTATTCAACTTGAATAACACCCTTTTTCATTTTTCCCCCAAATACACCACTTCTTATGTGACAACTCTTCTTGGCTTCTTGGTGTCAGACTCTATTGGATTTTTATCATCTGTTGTTCTTGGCATATTTCACTGAATTGGTGTCAGACTCTATTGGATTTTTATCATCTGTTGTCCTGTTAATAAAAATACTAGTTAGTATATACCTTAGAGGAAGTAAAATGTTAATGTGAGTTTAAAATAGTAACAACTGTTATTATTTTCACTTTTCTGTTTCAAATGTCATTTCCAACTTACCGCTTCCAGGAAGTGGCATCTATGCACCTGATTCTCCAAGAGCATTTCATTATGATATGAAGACAGAGAAGGGAAAACTCCTTCTCTCAGGATTGGATTCCCACCCAAAGCACCCAGTCGTGGTGAATTGGACTTCTTATGCTAGTGGAATAGAAGCATTCTCAACGAGAAACAAGGAGTTTAAGGGCACTGTCTTTTTTGATGAATACACCTTCGTGGAGCTCAGAGGAGTCACAGGAAATTATACAGTTTGTCAGAAAGATCTCTGTTGTCATCTAAGCTACAAGATGTCTGAGAAGAGAGCAGGTGAAGTGTATGCCCTAGGGGCATTTGATGGATTACATACTGTTGAAGGGAGCTACCATTTACAGGTAACGTTTATTTGTGTGGCAGTGGAGTTACCAGATAAAATATAAGATACCCGGTTCAATTTGAATTTCAGGTAAACAATGAATTGGTTTTGGTATAAGTGTGTCCAACTTTGGGGAATATGTATACTAAAAATTTTGTTGTTTGTCTGAAATTCAAATTTAGTTAAGCATTGCCAACTTGCCATCGTCAATGTCAGTCTAATATTAAACTGGTTGGAAAAAGGCAGAACATTTATTTTGCAGTACCAATGTTTGAAATGATATAATAGTCACATTAGAGACAATTTTAATGGGTAATTAATGTCTGATATTTCTTACCTGAACAAAGTTAGCCATTTTCCCAATATGTTCACTAATGCCTATTTTGTTGAATACAGCTTAACAGTAAGTATGTCCTGGAGACATATGAAGTTGATCTCTGAAATGTACAGTGAAATAGTTTATTGCTGAAAAGATTCAGCTATGAAGCAGGAACTATAATAGTCTTACGTGATGGGACTCCTAAAAAAATCAGACTTCTTGTTCTTCCCATTCTGGTCTTATCATTTGTGATCTGGTCTCCAATCCTTTTTCACCCAGATTATTGCAATATCCTAACACTGAAAGCCCTTTGATGGAACTGCCCCCATGGTGTAACATTTTGTTTGCTGTGTGATAGGCACTCTACAATGTTTGTTCATTTTGACAAAAAATTATCAAGTGCCTACTACATACCAGGTATATATTCTGTGTTTATTATATGAAAACTAGAAGCCCGGTGCATGAAATTCGTTCACAGGTAGGGTCCCTAGGCCTGGCCGGAAATCAGGGCCAATTGGGACCTTCCTTCCCCTGGCTGCCTGCCTGGGCCTTCCTTCATTCCATGATGCCTCCTGGTGGTCAGAGCACATTATAGTGAGCAGTTGAACTCCCGAGGGGACAATTTGCATATTAGCCTTTTATTACATAGGATGAATAAGTGCAGTGGTTCTCAACCTTCCTCATGCCGCGACCCTTTAATACAGTTCCTCATGTTGTGGTGACCCCCAACCATAACATTATTTTTGTTGCTACTTCATAACTGTAATTTTGCTACTGTTATGAATCATAATGTAAATATCTGATATGCAGGATGTATTTTCATTGTTACAAATTGAACATAATTAAAGCATAGTGATTAATCACAAAAACAATATGTAATTATATATGTGTTTTCCAATGGTCTTAGGTGACCCCTGTGAAAGGGTCATTCGACCCCCAAAGGGGTTGCGACCCACAGGTTGAGAACCGCTGGTCTAGACCCTCCTCATGAGGAATCTTCCCTGGATCCCCAAATCAGGCTAAGTACAGCTCCTTAGTATTTATTTCTACAGCAAAATGTGCATTCCCTGTTCTATCAGATGCCAATCTGTACTGAAGTTATCTGTTCATTTCTAGGTAAAAAAGTGTGGGAGGGAACTCTAGGTGGAGTGGAGAGCATGATCAAGGGTGTGAATTTGTGAGAGAACAAGGTATGCAAGGAAGAGCAAGCAGTTTGGTGTTACTAAGGCATAACCTAACAAGTCAGGACCGATGGAAGAAGAACCTAGAGCAGTGGTTCTCAACCTGTGGGTCGCGACCCCTTTGGGGGTCGAACGACCCTTTCACAGGGGTCGCCTAAGACTATCAGAAAACATTAGGAAGGTTGAGAACCACCGGTCTAGAATGTGCCAGGTTCTGGCAAGAGTGGCTGGGTGAATGTGATGCTCTGACAGAACAGAATGCATGAGGAGGAGCAGATTGGGTAGCAGTGGGCGCTGCTCAGTTTTGCTTGGGCCGTGCTGGTTTTGGAGTACTTAAGGTACATTCAGCTGGGGCCATCCATGAGGTTGTTGAATATATGGGTCTGATGCTTATGGGAGACACTGTATTTAGAACTATTGTTTTGAGAATCAGCAGGATAAAGGTCTTGGTTAAACCCACAAGGGTGAATGGTGTGAAAAGGTGACTACATAGACTGTAAAGAACCATGGTCTAGGGGTGGAACCTTCAGAGCTCCAGTGTTTGAGCAGAAAATGGATAGAGAATTAGGACCTGCAAATAGGATTTAAAAATAAAGAAAAACTTAAAAAGAGAACAATCACGGACAGGAAGGAAGTAGAGACCTAGGAGGAGAAAATTGTGAAGTGTGTTAATGCAATATGTTTAACTTTACTGACATAAATAAGTGCAATTTTGGTAGAATTTCCTGGGCTTATAATGACACAGTGAAAGACAGATTACAGTAGGTTGAATAGTTGAAGGGAAGTAAAAATTTTACAAGAATGAGTGACTGGTTTCCTCTTCAAAACTCTTTTTTAAAGTACATATATTTTAATTGATTTCAGAGAGGAAGGGAGAAAGAGAGAGAGATAGAAACATTGATTGGCTCCCTCCTACATGCCCCCTACTGGGGATCAAGCCTGCAATCCAGGCATGTGCCATGACCTCCTGGTTCATAGGTTGACACTCAACCACTGAGCCACGCTGGTGGGGCCCTTTTCAAAACCTTTGTCTGAGACAGGAGGAAGAGAAATGAGACAAGAACTAGACAGACACTGGCCACAAACGCTGTTTTTGGTCTTTGTTTCTCCATAAGATGAGAGAACCTTGATTATTATTAGGTCTAAAGGAAAGAGCAACAAAAAAGTTTGAAAATGTAGGACATCAGTGTTCCAAGGTACTGGAGAAAGGGAAAATGGTATCGAGAAAATGCCCAACAATTAAAAATTAAACAAGTTATTTTGTAGAAAATTTATTGACATATAAATATTACCATATATTCTGTGACATTTTGACATTAATTGCACTATGTATATGGGACATGTATGATATTACATTGCCATATTTTTCAAATTCAAAACTTATGAGATATAATTTTTTCTTTTTTGTGATAGATTTTTTTAAGTTGGTTATAAAACAAGATAGCCATCTACTGGCTTTCTCTCTCTCTCTCTCTCTCTCTCTCTCTCTCTCTCTCTCTCTCTCTCTTTCCTTTCTCCCCCTCAATCTTGTCCTGCCTTTCTGTCTCCCCCAGAGTCTTGGCTCCACTGGAGAGAGCAGTGGTAAGTCCCTTCTCGGTGTGAGGACTCTCAAGTAAACAAAGCCCTCTGTTATTTTGCTGGGCCGTGTGCCCTTGACAAAACCACTGGTGCCTGACAGGTTTTGGAATTTAAAATTCTCAATTTAGTAGTTTTTTCAGATATAGGGTGACACGTTAGGATTACCGAAAACTGACTGAAAGTTCTGAGCACGTGGGTAATCCTTGCCTTTCCAAGCTGCACAGTAGGGTGATTTAACTCAGCCTTTGGTGAGGGGAATCCCTCAGCTGAGTATCTGTAGAGATTCTTCCTGGGTTGGTCAGGTTTTTCAAGCTTTAAAACCCTTCTAACGCAGGATGACCAAGTAAATGTAAAGTTCAGGTAAGCAAGGAATCTGTTGTTTTTAAAAATATATATATTTTATTGATTTTTTACAGAGAGGAAGGGAGAGGGATAGAGAGTTAGAAACATCGATGAGAGAGAAACATCGATCAGCTGCCTCCTGCACACCCCCTACTGGGGATGTGCCCGCAACCAAGGTACGTGCCCTTGACTGGAATCGAACCTGGGACTCTTCAGCCCGCAGGCCGATGCTCTATCCACCGAGCCAAACCGGTTAGGGCAGGAATCTGTTTTTTAAAATGTAAGGATGTCCCTTGTGATACTTGGGACATTCTCATGTTAAAAACTATTTTTACTATTTTTAACTTATCTGAAATTAACTGGAACTCCTGTCTAGCACCTGTATTCCTGTAGGGTAAATGCCTTGCTGGCAGTACTTAGTCAAGTGGGAGAAATGACCTCACAGGGTGGGATTGTGGTAAAGTCAGATGATCCCAACATTTCGCATGATTAATTCACACAATCCCTTTCAACCACGTCATTTAAAACCTTCATCTAAAGGTCATCTGCGTTACCCGCTCTGAAAATAAATGCCCGTCTTTCACTGGAATAGGGGAGGGACAGTTGCCCATCCGTGGTGGGGACCCAGTATCTGCGGTACCTTTAACAACTTCCCACCAATTTTCCTTACTTCAGCCACCACATCTTTAACAGCTGCCGAGGTACCGAGGCAGCAGGAGTGGAATCTCTGCAGTATTCTGCAGTGTAGTCAGGGTTGATTCTTGGCTTTCCTCATTACCAATTTAGGACTTGGCATTCTTAGATCAGCTAACTCAGTTACGACTTTGGCATTAACATCCCTGCTTCTAAAATTGTGCCATGGTCTATCCTCCTGGACCCCTATCCTTCTAGACTTATATCTTAAAAACATTAATGTTAGTTTTAATAGGATTTCAAGGGAACAAAAAGAAGCATGTATTCTACCTTTATCAGAAAGTTATTTGTATCCCATCTTAACACACTTGCCCTAAATGCTTTCTGTTTAACTTCAAAAGAAGACGTCCTTTTTTTTTTTTTCCATTGCTAGTTGTATTAGCTATTCAGCAATGAACTGGATTAATCAATTGAGGAAATAATATTATTTTTCCAAACAAAGGAACCCGGGCATTTTTTTCAGGGTCAGGAGAGTGTTTCTATTGGCTTGCCTAGGAATTAATGGTTTGCCTTTACTTTCTAGATTTGCACTCTTCTGAAGTGTAAAACAACGAGCTTACACACTTGTGGTCACGCAGTTGAAACTGCTTCCACCAGGTTTGAAATGTTCTCCCTCAGTGGCACGTTTGGAACCCAGTATGTCTTTCCTGAGGTGCTGCTGAGTGAAATTCAGCTTGCACCTGGAGAATTTCAGGTGAGAATCTTTGCTTAATATTGACAACTCATTTCATGTAAGAGGAAGCACTTTTTGAGTACAAAACCTATCCAAGTGCTTACAATCATAAAAATCTCTATTTGAAAAGGGTAAAATTGTCCTTAGGGCTAAGGAAAGACACTGAGCAGGCTGTATTTTTTAAAAATTTTTTTTATTGATTTCAGAGAGGAAGGGAGAGGGAGAGAGAAATAGAAACATCAATGATGAGAGAGATTCATTGATAGGCTCACCTCACACTGGGGATCGAGCCCGCAACCAGGGCATGTGCCCTGACTGGGAATCAATCCATGACCTGCTGGTTCATAGGTCGATGCTCAACCTGAGCCACAGCGGCCTTAATATAATAATTAGTGTGTTCTTTAGGTCGATGCTCAACCACTGAGCCACAGCGGCCAGGCTGCATTTTTCATCTGGAAAGCCTTAATATAATAATTAGTGTGTTCTTAAGATTAAAGAAACATACTGTTGTGGGAACTGTAGGGACAAGGCTGGGTTGTGTAAGGTAGAAGGAAGATTTGAAGAGTTTCAGGACTAATCCCACCAGAAAAAAGCCCTTTGGTATCACTGAGCAGCGATGGCCTAGGGTAGTTAAAAGGAATCCCTCTCATGATGTGGGTGAAGGTTCCATGTGACCATAGGAGAAAAGGAAAGAATGAAAAGCCAAGGAGAGAGAATTTCAGTGGCTGATGTTGGTAAGAAAGTAAAGAGTCGTTGTTTTTTTTAAATGTGTTTTTAGAGGCTAGAAATAATCCATATTGCCCAAGCACTCTGCCCAGCCCCATTTTTCTACTGGCTTTTCCTGCAAGTTCTGCTCTCACTCCTTTCTCCTGGTAGAAACAGCTACTGTGGGGAGTTGGGGAAAATGGGCAGGTTAGGGAGCCGTGGTGAGTGATTGACAGGCTTGATAGAGATTCAGCTGAAATTCCTCAGTCAGTCAATCCCTTCTAATCCTTCACGGAGTCTTTATCTTGTCTGAGAGGACTAGATTTATCTTATACACTCCCAAATACACTGTTTTATGTCTACTAACTTATGGGATGTTTTCTGAGGTAAATAAATTACAGGCATTTCAATAATAAATGAATCAGTGCCAGTTCCATGGCTCCAACTTTTCTTCTGTATCATTTCAAATATTTCTGATAGAACAGAATCTGGCCATTATATTTATTGTTCCCTTGTCCAGTTGTACTGAATTTTAAAAGTGTGTTGTGGGTTGTATAACTTAAAGTTAGACCCAGTCAACTTCTTTGTGTTTTAATTAGGTGTTGAGTGATGGACGCTTGCTGAGCCTGAAGCCACCATCTGGACCTGTCTTAACAGTAACTCTGTTTGGGAGGGTGTATGAGAAGGACCACAAATCCAATGCTTCATCAGACTTCATGGCATACACACTAACAATAATGCTCATAGTTATAACACCTATACTATACTCATTAAGTTGGTAGAATTTTTACATTTTCTTTATTTTATCTTGAATAATTTAAAAAATGATGGATGGATGCATGGATGGATGGATGAAAAAAGATGGGTCTGGTATACCAAATATATATATTTAGATACCTGCCCCCCCCAAATCCATTCCAGACCATATAGATCAGATATATAATGACAGCATTTTAGAAAGGTAAATTCTATAAAATGAGGATAACAGTTATACCGACCTTTTAGGTTTTTTTTGGTGAGATTGTTTTGAGTGCATATAGTTTTCAATGGTTCAGCCACCCTGCATATTTCAATTAGAAAATTAATGAATTCAACATCAGCTAATTGTCTTTGACCTGGTGTCTAGCACTGAAGTATCCCAGAAGGCAGCTGAGCTTACATCTAGTAGGCCTTCATGTTTTTGTTTTTCATTGGTGACTTACTGCTTATTTACTGCTTATCTTGTCAGCCCATAAGCATATTAATAGGGTGGCGCTAGTGCAGACATTTACCAAATCTGACCTGCTACCTGTTTTTGTGTGGCCTGTGAGCTATGAAAGGTTTTTATGTTTCTAAATGGTTGAAAAATAAAATCAAAAGAAGAAGACTATTTTGTGACACATGATTATTATGTGAAATTCCAATTTTATTCTCCATAGCTAAACTTTTATTGAATACTAGAGGCCCCATACACGACATTCGTGCAAGGGGCTCGGCCCTCACAGCCCGCAGCCCCGGGCTTCATCTGGAAGCGAAATTCGTGCAAGGGGCTCGGCCCTCACAGCCGCAGCCCCGGGCTTCCTCTGGAAGGTCATCCGGAAGGTCATTCAGCTGTCCAGTCTAATTAGCATATTACGCTTTTATTATTATAGAGAGTCTCGTTCATTTGTTTAGGTGTTGTTGATGGTTGTTTTCATGTTACAATGGTGGAATTGAATAGTTGTGACAAAGGCCATAGAGCCAGAAAAGCTAAAAATATTTGTTGCCTGGTTCTTTACAGAAAATGTTTGCTGCCTCCTGCTCTAAAGCATTAAATAACAATGGATTTTAGTATTAAAAACCTGTAATACAAGTCAGTGGGAAATTGCCCTTGAGGGTCTTTCTTACAATTCTTTCACACAAGGAGAAATAAAATATTTTTATTTGCTTTGTATTAAACTACCATCACAAAAATTACCTTGATCAACATATGAACAAATATGCTAAATAAACTAATACCCCAAACAAGTGAACATAATTTTTATAAGCATAATTGGTATTTATTTCCTACATGATGTCATCTCATAAAGTCTTTTGTTGCATTTGGTGAGTTCTAAAATTCTTGAGAGAAATCATACTATTTTCATTTTCAATTTTTTCCTAGAGATCAACTAAGAACTGCTCATCTGAATATACTACCTGATATTTTTTCAGTGACAAACTTATTAGCTTGCCTTAGAATGAATTTACTTAAAATTCACTTCTTCAAATGAATTTTCTTAAGTATTGCAGCAGTGAATTTACTATTAAAAGTGGCACTGCTCTAGTCGGTTTGGCTCAGTGGATAGAGTGTCAGCCTGCAGACTGAAGGGTCCCAGGTTCCATTCCAGTCAAGGGCACATGCCTGGGTTGCAGGCTCGATCCCCAATAGGGGGCGTGCAGGAAGCAGCCAATCAATGATTCTCTTTCATCATTGATGTTTCTATCTCTCTCTCCCTCTCTCTTCCTCTCTCATATCAATAAAAATTTTTTTAAAAAAGTGGCACTTACTACACTCAAACCCAGCTCGATTACTTTCTCAGTCTGGATTTTTTAATGTATATATGTGTATTTTATGATAATTTTGATGTGCGTTTTAACTGTAATTTTAATTTCTTCTGCTTAAATCATTTGTGATGCTCATTTGATACAAACAACACAATTCGAAGAAAGACCAATGCTCAAATACAATTGTTAAATCTATCTTTTTATACTTTGATGAATCAAATCATCCAGAGAGCAATTTTGACACTTCCACTTTTAAAGATTACAACATTTGTTATCAATTTTTTGATGATAACACACACACACACACACACACACACACGCACACACGCACACATACACATACCGGCATATGCATTGGTAACCAGCTTCCAAGATGACCCCTAATTATCCCCACCTCCAGGCTCCATGGCGAGAGTATGTTTATATATTCTGCTATTAGCCTTGTAACTTACAATAAGTCTGAATTCATTACCACTTTTATTACAACACATATCTCTAACTCAGTTCTGCTTAAAAGTTTTCAGTGATTTTGTTTGCTCTGTTATCCTATATAATAAAAGGCTAATATGCAAATTGTCCCCTCTACAAGGAGTTCAACGGGGAGTTTGACCAGGGGACGGAGCTGGCCAGCCAACTGCCCACAGCCCTTCCCCCCGGCCGGCTCGATTGCCCCCAT